GGAAATTCCTGTAAAATATAGAATATAAAGCGTTTCGTATACCTTCCTGCTTGTATTGTCTACTTCACACATTCTTGAACATAGCTTGAGTAAGCTCCCTGTTACTATTCAGGACCATTCATGTTTCCAAAACAAGTCAAAAGAAACACTAGTCCTGATACATGTACTTAAATTTTTTTCTCACCTTTTATGATAATGAATGGCTCTTTTTTTGTTACAATCATTTAAATACACCCATGCTTCATCTATTGTGACAACTGTTTCCCATTTTTCTTTGGATAAGTGTTTCTTATATAGAATTCTGCAGCGTGTCCTGCATTGAGCGATATGCTTTGGAAGAAGACGATGCACATTGCGTTTTTTCGCTTTCTTAAGATTTAAATCAACGTTTATCGTTTTGTTTACAGTGGACACCGGGCATTTTAATGATTTTGCAACTGTCCTTTGACTAGGGGGATTTTCTTTTAACATTAAACAACGTACCTTTGCAATAGTCGAAGATGTCCGTTTTTTCCTTGGATACTTGTTTGGAATTTTTGTCCCACTTGAGGCTCCAATTTGACGTTTTTTTGTTAAATTCGCCATTTTAAATAAAAACAAAACTTTCAAGCCACAGGCGATAATTTTGACTTTTAAAAACATAGTACAATTGCAATTACTTCTTTTGCAGCAAACGAGTTTTTATTACCGCTTACCAAAATCGTTTAAAAAAATGTGCAAACAGCCTCTGTACATGATTTTTTTCCTTTCTTTCGCAAAAAATTGTAAAATGTTCATTTTCAACCAATCAGCATCAAATCCCTCATCATCATAATAATAAAGAACCTATTCCTCTTAACATGGTAACCCCCAAAGTGATTTGTGCTGATTGGCTGTTTTATATCTTGTGACAAAACAGAAAAATTGGACTAAACAGTTGTTCTTCTGAAATGTTTTGAACGTATAATACAGCCTTTATTAGTAAAATGAAATTATGAAAAACGTATATTACTGTATTACGCTCCTGTAATGTCCGCGTTCATGTAATGTCTGTACCCCAACTTTACAGATAAAATTTATTTAAAAAAAAGTAACCCGCACAATGTCCGCGCCCCAAAAACTAAGAATTTCTTACTTTAAAAAAACATTCAAGTAAAAAACATCAAGATCATCAAGAAGTTAAGGAAAAGAAAAGCGCCCGCATTCGACAAATATTAACGAAGTTGCACTCAAGTGGCTTCCACTTGGAATCATCACTAGGTTTACCTATATTTTAAATGCATGTCTTTTCAACAGCTACTACCTCAGGCATTGGAAAAGAGCTAAAATGATTGTCATACCGAACCCTGGAAAAGACCAGACGGAGGGCTATAGGCCAATTAGCTTGCTGCCCAGCATGGGCAAGATTCTAGGGAGACTGATTCTAAGCAGAATGCAGCCGTACTTTGAGAAGTTACCCTTGGAACAGTTCGATTTCCGAAAGGCCCTATCTACCACGAAACAGCTCGTGCGTCTCAATGAGTTTATTGGGGGCGCCTTGCATAATAAACAGAAAGTCGCCTTACTCATGCTGGACGTGGCGAAGGCATTCGACCGCGTCTGGTATGAGGGGCTTATCTTCAAACTAATTGTGTTCCAGTTTAGCAGAGAACTCATATTTCTCATTCACTCTTTTCTCAAGGAAAGAAAGTTTTTCTTGCAGCTTGGAAAGGACACTTATGATTGCAAGCACATCAACGCTGGCGTCCCGCAGGGTTCGATTATCGGGCCCGTGTTATATCTGCTTTATGTTATATCTGATTTGCCTACTATGAATATAGACCTGACTTACTATGTTGGATGTTACGCAGATGATACTGCTATTGCAGCCAAGTCCTTCTGCCTGAATCATGCCACTAAAAAACTTCAGAGACTCATGCCTCAGCTCGAACAGTGATTTTCGAAATGGAGAATTGCGATAAATGCGGGAAAATCGAATCTTAATCATGAAGAAAAAGCGCGCACAGACACCAGTCACAGCTCAGCTCAAGCTTTTCGACACCGTTGTGCCGCTTGCCAGTAAGGCCACCTATCTTGGTGCCAAGTACACCACACACTTCAAGTGGAAGGAACATATCAGCTATGTAAGGGGAAAAGTATTCAGAGTCATCCAGAGCCTCACGCCTCTGCTTGCTGCAGACTCTAAATTAGATCTCAGGAGGAAGCGGCATATTTATATTGCCATTTATCAGGCTCCTTTTTGCCTACTCGTCGCCTGCCTGGGCTGCGGCTCGCACGAATGACTTACGTAAGTTACAGATCACTCAAAATAAGTTCTTGTGCCAGATTACTAGTGCACATCACTTTGTCTCCAATGATATGCTCCATAGAGACCAGCAGATCGAAACTGTGGACAAGTTTCTCCACAGAATGAACGACAATTTCTTCAAGAATGCTCTGACTTGTTCACACCTTGGTCAACTTAATGTCTGCAATTATGAAATTCTCGAAATGGACTCAGAAATTAGACCCCTCGCGGCCCAACTCACCTGGGACTCAAACTTCACTACCTAATTTTTGTACATACTCATATATATATTATTTATACCTTATTATATCCTTTATGTATCTTGTATTTCAGTAGTATTTTGTTGTAATTTTTCCCTCTTATCTTTTACCTCGTATGGTATTGTGTAATTTGTCATGTACAGTCAAAAGTCGTTAATCCGGACTCGTCGGGACTTCGGCGATTCCGGATTATCGATTTTTCCGGATTATAGATAATCAGTTTAAGTCTGGTAAGATGGCATGCAGAAATTATAAAATTAAAAATATGAAACCGTAATTTATGAAATAAAGAACAATTATGATCTAAAGGGTATCAAAATTTACAAAAAAAAATGGCTTAATATTTATTTGTTTACTTTATTAAACATTTCTTTCAATGTAAGTTGTTTAAGTTGCTTCGTTTTATGTGATAATACTTTCTCTTTAATTCTATTAACAGACATAATTTTTTCTTCAGTTACAAAGTTCCGCTGTTCAAGTCCTATAATTGCTGTGTCGAGGATACCGACTAATTTGTCAATCGAAATGTTTTCGTTTTCAATAACCTCTGTGTCACTTTCTTCACTATCGGAACCGAATTATAATGACAAGGAATTTGATTTAAATCATATCAAAGACGGAGTACATCGAGATGAAATACTATATTTAGTAAGGAATTATAAGCCAAATAAAATAAAAACATCTGCCCTGAAGATAAGGATAGTGCTGACAGATCAACTTCCAATTCATTGCGCGCCGCGGCGTTCCCCCCCCCTCCCGCCGCAGAGCAGCGTGAAATTGATAAACAGATTTCGGAATGGTTAGAGAAACGAAGGATATGCCTTTATCCATTTTTTGCAGCAATTCCACTTTTTGTTTAATGGTCTTCGAAACATCCTTTCGCTTTGCAGATCCTTTACATATTAGTAAATATATATCGGAAAGTCTATGATATAATCGAAAGTTCAGGCTTGCTTTTATAAAATTGCTCTAACATTCTGCAAAAATTAATAAGCCGGATTCAATTCGAAGATTAAGGAACAACGCAATCTGCAACATTAACTGAATTAGATAATTTTAGCTTAGCTTATACCATCCGTTATACATTAAACGCGCATGCATAAACGTATTATGCGCATGCGCACACGCATATTCGCAGCCGTACAGGTCTTACACGCATGCGTCAACGCGACGCATGCGCAGAAAATAAGTAGTTTTGAGGTCCGGATTATAGATCATTCCGGATTATGGGTGTCCGAATTAACGACTTTTGACTGTATTGTATATATTTATGTGTGCTTAATTTATCATGATCTTGTCTTTTTCTCTTAGCAAAGCGCAGACATGCCTTAGTTCTCCCTCGCTGCTCTGACTTGTTTGTATCCTCCTCTGTCTTTGACCGTTTTGGACTGTGACTCCTGGTCACCCCCTTTTTACCCAACTTAGACCTCCACTTCACTACGTCCGACATTTTCTAACGTCATGTGCCTTTTAGGCCTTGCTTATCATCGAGCCGGACACTGTGCGCCTTGCCCGATATTCCGGCTATAACTGTTCAATGTGGATGTGCGCAATTGGAGCAAACAGCGTGATCAGCTGGCGGCAACTAAGAAACAAGACGTGCCTTTCGTGGTTCGAAATGCAAGTTTCCGAACTTAGAAAAAAAAGTAGTTGCGTATGTTGGTGATATGCGTTCTGAAGGGTACGCAGTAACACGGGAAATGTGCCAAATAAGAGGGCTTGCTGCGGCACAAAAAGAAGACATTCCAACATCCCAATTCAAGGCGAGTGAAGGCTGGTTGCGGCGAATGTTGAAACAAAATGGATTTTCATACAGTGCGTCAGAACAGATTTTTTTAAAATAATGTGTGCCAGATATTAAAAGAATCAACGTTTATTTAATTTGTGTAAAAGTAAATATTACACGTGTTAGTTAATTTGTGCCTCTAAATTGTGCTTCAATGTGACCTAATACGAGCCGAGTGTTGATAATGTAAACGGGGTAATGTATGTTATATATGTGGATGGGAGAAAGTGAGTTTGTAAGTTTTAGCTAGCTATTAAACAACTTTAAATTTGATACTTTTACTATTTATGCCCCTTTTTCCCACTTAGAACTTAACTGTTTGAAATGAAATTTACATCCAAACTTACTCACGAGAAAAATGCGCGACATTTGAACAACCTGTGTAATTGTCCGTACCTGCATTTTAGCGATGTAATTTTAGTAAAAAAAAGTGCGGACATTACCGAAGCGTATACGGTTTATTTAAAATCTTAAATATCAACATTATACTAAAACCTTTAACAGGAGTGTTATCTAAAAATAAATATTGCTGAATAATGTTTTATATAGTTATTATATTAATTTCAAGAAATTATTCACCACATAATTACAGTAAAACATATCTATTGTAATATAAAGCTATACTTAATGACAAAGGGAAATGAATGCAATCAATCAAAAGAAGAAATCAATAATTTTTTTTTAATAGTTTCAGATTTCCAGTCCAGAAAGTACAAAGAACTCAGAGCATAACTTACAAATGGTAAGTGCAGAAAGTCAGTCTTCTTTTCCACCGATTCAAGATTCAAACAGCCGTAAAAGAAAATATGAATCATTTAATGTTCCAAGCAATCATCATCATTTTAAATCCGAAGTACCCCCTAAGCCAGACAGTCAGGAAATTTTTGGACAATACATTGCTTCTAAACTACGAACCATGGAAAGTTCTATGCAGATGTTCTCAGAGAGATTAATTTCAGAAATTTTATTTCGTGGACAGATGGGATTGTTGAATAAAAACACTTGTATACATGAAAATGATATTTTAGTAACATCAATCTCAAAGAGTGAATAGAACAGTTCTGAAACTTCTTATCCTTAAAGACATATGCTTAAATTTCCTCATAGTGAAAATTTTGTGATATATCTCATTCAAGTTTTATTGTTGTAAGATGTTTTCATAATAATAGCAACAATAAATTATTTTCTTTGTTAATATTTAAAGAAAAATAAACATTTGTTGAAAAAATTATTTGAATTTTGAGTATTACTTTAGAAGATAAATATTTAGATATACTTTTGATTCACATAAATGGTATTTTAAGAAATTTTTCATATGTGAAGACTATACTGAACATACTGTTTTCAAAACGAATATCATATTTATTTGCATATTTCCTCTTTTCTACTAAACTGAACCTCTGAGAATTATGAAGGGAAAGTTATGCAGTTTTCTGTGGGAAAAATATATGGGAAGAATTTTGCAGATTGAAATTCATATAAAAATAGATGTACTTGTGGCGAAATGGCCCTGAGAAAATAAAAATCCACTTCACCGGTTTTAAAATACTAAGGTGTTTATTTTTACGAAAAGAATACGAAAACGTAGTTAGAACAGACTCACATCTTTATTATGATTTTTAAACTCAACTGCCCGATAGAATATTCTAAGTAAACAATAATTTCTGTTGCCATTCCAAAAAGGTAAATATAAAACGATATAACTGTATTCATTTCCAACATTCTTCCCACTTTGCAAAATGGGGGTTTTGCAACATCAGTACTGAAATTTAAAAGGATTTTGAAAATCAATAAAGTTCATATAGTTCCAAATTCTCAATAAAATTCATAAGTCCAGTTTTTGTGGTGGATGTATTTCTCTGCCAATACGAGTTTTTCTAAAACATCTTGGATTACTTATTTCCTGTTCTTTAGATAGGTGTATATTGAACCTTTGATCGTTTTCTTTTATTTTATAAATTTGTGTGTCTCCTACATTATTTCTCATGAGAGGGAGTTTATCTGAATTATTTAATGTTGATATTTAGGATTGTTTAGTTCGGTTCAAAGGGAGTTTGTTTTCGAAAGGGAAGAGGCGTTGAATTGGCCTAAATAACAACTCCAGAGGATGTTTTTAACTTCACAAGAAGCGTGATATTATCTTTCCCTAAGAATAATTCAAGTACTCGATCCAACATCCAGTCTATTCGTTTTTTGTTATCATTTCCGATGAGAACAATGCCATTCACTTAAATTATTCCTCTTTTACCCTTTGCAATGTTTTGGAGAAAGCCTAGATATTCCTTCTTAAAACGATTTCTAAGTCCTTCTCTAACTCTTTGTAAATATTTCCATCTTTCTATTATGCTCAGAGAATTAATTTCACCTAAATCATACATATTACTTACTGCCAATTAAGTTGTATAGGTACATAGAAGATTTCAACGGTGACAAATCATCACCTTTCTCCGATAGGTAAGTCAAAGGTATGATGTTCATTAGGCTTTCACATTCGCACAGGAGGGTTAGAAATTCTTCATATCCTAAATAAGTGTTTCTCAATTTTTTTCGGAGGAGATCCTTTAAAATTTTTATTAACCTCTCCCCAAATCCTCCCCACCATGACGCTATGGGAGGATTGAGTATCCATTTTATTTTCATTAAGGTACACTTTCTTTTGATATCAGCCCAATCCAATTGATTCATAGCTTTATTTAAACCGACCAAATTCGAACCATTGTCCGAGTATGTGACTTCAACTCCACCTCTTCGTGAAATAAAACTTCTAAATGCATCTATAAAGACTCAACGAAGTGATTAATTCAAGATGAACAGCTCTAAAAACTGCACACGTATTATTGATACGTACACTTATTATCCAAGCTTTTAAATTCCCTTTCAAGAAAAACTGGGCCAGCGAGATCGAATCTTGTCACTTGAAAAGTTTTCAGCATTTGTCCTGTCTTCAGGCAAAGGAGGAAGAGGTACTTCTAAGACTCTAACAGCATATCTCTGGCATATGACACATCTTTTTACCACAGAACTTACAGTTTTTCTACCTTTGATAATACAAACTTTTTTCTCAAAATCATTAGAAGTGACTTACAGTTTTTCTACCTTTGATAATCCAAACGTTTTTTCTCAAAATCATTAGAAGTGTTTGTGTTCCAGCATGTTAATGTTTTAAGTGTAATTCGATTTCTTCTTTAGAAACACCAGTAAGACAATTATCCATATAGAATGTGCCTTTTAACTTTTTTACAATCTTGCTTAGATGTTCAGGTGGATTTTTTAACAAATTATTTAAGCATGCTGAAAGAAGAAATGGAGAACAGCAAACACCAAAAACTACTCTGCAGTGACTAAATTCAACAATATTTCCTTTTTCCCACCACAAGAAGCGTAGGAAATCTCTATCTGCTGGACAATTTCAATTTGTAAAAATGCCTTTTCTATATCGGAAGATAAAGCGATTACATAAATTCTAAAATTAGTTAAAACTATCGGAATTAAATCTATTAAATTTGGTCCATCCAACAATTTTATTAAAATTTATTTTTATTAAATATTAAATCGTTCAGAGAAGATCCATTTTCTTACATTAGTACTACATTCTTTAAAAACAGCTGTGTGTGATAAATAATGGTTCCTTTCATTTGCATTTGTTTCTGGTACAATTTCAGTTATTCCCATTTTCCATGTCTTTAATAGCATCGTCATATTCTTGAAACTTGTTTAGTTTCTTCAATTTCTTCGATATATTCTGAAGTCTTTTTTCAGCAGCCTTAAGATTAGATTGTAAGGAAGGGTAACCATCAGTCCATGGAAGACGTACTACATAACGACCAGTGGTTTCATTTCGTTTGGTAGTATTCTCAAAAAATTTCATGACTTCTTTATCTTTTCTTCCTGTGTAATTCTTTCAACAGGATCTGAAATGCGTAGTGTTTCTAACTTCCAAAATTTCGATGTTTCAATAGAGCATTTCATTGAAATAAGTAAAGAGGAAAAAATAGACGTTGGGTCGTAACCTACTATACCTGAAATGGTTCTGACAGCCACTAAATTCTTTTCAACAGAAACCACATCAGGTATTACAATTTTTACCCAAGCGTCTGCGCCTAATAATAATACTTGAATATCTTCCGAATAATGATTATCTTTTAAATAATCACTTATCTCAATTCCTTTACTTTTAAGGATTCGATAAATGTTCTCATTTTTAAACCTTGGTACGTTAGTACAAATTTGATCAGGTCTAATAACATCAAATTCAAAAACAATTTTAGAATCAAGGCTTGATAACTTAATAGTTTTGTACATATTATGTGTCGAGAACGGAATCATCTTACCACCGAACAATACTTGCGATAAAGTTACCTTGCCCTGTGTATCAAATTACATTCTTTTGCAATCGAATTTTTAATATAACTTTTCTGATAGCCTTAATCACATAATACACTCACTAGATATGTTTTATTATCAACAACAATATGTGCAATCAAAGTTTGTAAATATGAAACGGAATACTTAGATGAAATAGATAAAGTTTTAACTACTTCTGATTCATTTTCAATCTGAGAATCTGAGACGTTTTATCACTTTCATAGTTTCTAATTTTAGAACACATTAAGAATAATGCTGACCTTTACATAACGCACGTCTTACAAAACTTCGACATTTCGAATTCATATGGCCCGTTCTTAAACATTTAAAACAGACATCTTTTCTCTGCAGTATTTTATTACGTTCATTAATTGAAGAATCAGCAGCTGTAGCATAGTCTTGGGAGTTATGACATTTTCTATCACAAAAAATGCAAACTCTTTCTTTAATTCGAGAATTCTCTGTTGAAACTAAGGCAGCAGTCGTAGGAATATCATTATTTCTGCTGTTAATTCTCGAATTAGCTTTTGTTTCGCCATTAAAAGGAAATTTTCTTTTGTCATTAAAAGAAGCTTTCCTAAGTTTTAATCTTTCCTCATCTTCTACTTCTATTTTTAAAAACTCCAATAACTCGCATAACCAATCATCAGGATTTTTAGTTGAAGCCTTTTTAGTTACCCGGTGTCTGTCCCAGATCTTAAAAATACTTTCTGGAATAGCCTACTCAACTAACGGGAAAAGCATCGCTGCATATTTTTCTTTAGTTACGCCTATAGATTCTAAAGCACGTAACTGTTTCTAGTTTATCATAGAGTTGCGAAATTGGAATATTTTCCCCTTTTAATAGAACTAGAGACAATAATTCACGAACATAGAATTGTATTAAAAATTCATTTTCCCATATATGGATTTTAAAAGCTCCATAGCTTTCTCATAATTTTCTTTTGACAATAGGAAACCTTCGATTAATTTTTGCGCTGATGACCCAGGTTTCATACTCAAATATTCAAATTCATCTTCATCTGGCTAAAATTCCATAAGCGGGGTAAGTTGGCGCCAAACTATTTTGGCCTTCAAAATATGGCGAATTTTTTAGGCGCACTAAATGAAAGCACTAAAATGTGATTTTTAAACGTAAACAGAATAGTAACTTTTAAGTTTTGCAGTAATGAAACGCCGTTATTTTACGTAAACAGAATAGTAAAATGAGATCATAAAATACTAGATGAGAAAAACAAAGTCCAACAGCTTTGTAAGTAAAAGCATAGTCCTCTATATATATATGTAATTCATCATAAAATAGTAGAATGAATAATTCTGGTAAATAATTATTGAGTAAATAAATGTATACACTTATAAGATCAGAGCACTGCGAAGTCAGTTTTAAACGTAAACAGAATAGCAAATTATGCGTATTCAGCATCATAAACTAAATAAAATATTCAAGTTACTATCGTCGTGGAATTCAGCACACTAAAACAACTTTCGTTCAAAGCTTTAAATATTCCACATCTTTCAATTGCCTCATGCAAGAAACAAAACTTAAAAAAAAAAAAAAAAAAAAACTAATAAAATTAAATGAAAACATTCATAAATTATAAACTTCATGCCATATGAAATCCAACATTCCCCCAACAACAACAGCTTATTCTGCAAATATTTATATAAATAAATATTAAACATATATATAACAATAATATTAAACATAAATTTAAAAACAAAACAGTGTTAAATTAAATTTAAACAAAATCGACAAACGATTATAAATAAAGCTAGGTGTTGTCGTGAAGCAAAACAATTTTACTTTACACCTGACTGCCACTGGCTCCGACATAGCAATGTGAATACTCTACATCTAAAATTTTA